ATATTATATTTTGTAAACCTACCGAAAATCAATATCCAGTAAAAGGCTTTTAATGTTAGACTTCTTGTCACCTGATGCTGTCGACATGATCAGCTCATGCAACCTAAAGCAATTAGTGAAAGCAAATTTAGTAAGAAATTACAAATGTCATAGACAATAAGCAAAACACACAACAAAACCCATCAATGTTCTTCTGATATTTCTGATTATGTCAAGGAAACACTGAGGAAAATTTGGCAGGTATAACCGAATTTTCATTTTTGCAAATATTTGTTAAAGAGCAGAATTACCTGAAACGGAGGAGTCTAATATCATAAACAATTCAGGAGTCAAATCAGAAAGACTCTCCCATCACATACCAGAAAGAAATCTCAATCGGAATATAGGTTGCAAACTCGTTAAAAAAGGGACCATGTTTTACACTTTCTTTGAATACTCAAAAGCTTCACGCTGTACTCTGTACATAGTAAATAACTACTTGATAAAAATCTTACATTTTCTAAAGTGATGATGAGTATTTTTTTTAAAAATCATATAACATACCTTGGTGTTCCAACACACAGTACTCTTCTGAATCCAAGGGTAGAAAGTAGGTCTACCAAGAACTGACAGCTCCTATCAGCAAACAGATACTGGGCATTTGCCTTCTTGTTTTCCAATGGATAAAGGAGTTGACTGGGCCTTCGTAACTGGGTGATAGAAACATCACCCATGACCTGATGCTCACAATGCCTCCCCCATTCATCTGGTAACAGCAACTGCTGACACCTTTGACAAAACTTCCTCTGAGTCAAGGGCAACTCTATAAACTTCAAGTACCTTCAAGACACAATAAAACACAAAGTAATATATTTTAAATTTATTGTCTTAAAGAAAATGTATTTTTGCTATTTTCAGTGTCCAAAAAGTGTTCTTATTTCCTAAAGAGTATTGCATAAAAAAGAAAGGTAAGAAAAATCTGTGGCATGTCGGCTAGAATTTATGTCTGGCTGCGTATCTACAAAGTTGAAAAGAATCAGCAATTTAATAAGAATTGAGACGCTCCAATTTAGTCACTGAATGAAGATCAATATCCATTTAAAATGTGAATATAATATATTTCTCAAACAACTTAGTAGTAATGACAACTACTATCAAGTTAAAATTTATTGACAAATTCATGTGTTCCAACTTTGAAATGTTAAACAGTCTGGCTCAGTTGACAGTCATTTTAAAATGAGAAATTAAGATCATTCTTCAAGTTCTTATGGCATACTTAACAAGAAAAATTACCTCCTACAAGAAAAGATGTTCCTACAAAGCTCCTCTGTTCTTAGCATTACTGACAGAGGCAGTTATAAGCTTACCCCCGAAACAGCAAGACAATAATCAAAGACTTAAAAAAAGACTATACTGGACCTCACATTTGATCTCTTTCAGGTCGCCCTTATATCTGATTTAAAGCCACCATTTTTTTTTCTTTTTAATTTTTATTAGAGATTACTGAAGAGAGAAAATAATCATTGTCAGTATGTCTTAAAAACTGCTGATTTTGTATATGTGATACCAGCTATGAAATCAGAGTAAGAAAACAAGAGAAAAATAAATAAGATTATTACAGACCATAGAGAGTCAGAAATGTCTAAAACTGAGCATGTTAAATAGCACATTAAAGGATTCTTACAGTTTGAGAAGAGTCATACAGTTTCCATGGAACTAAATTTGGGAACTACAGTGTAAAAACTGTGAACTTAACATGTAATCATAGTCAGTATTAAAACTTTTTATATCTAAGCACAGTTTTACTTCAAAGCACCCAAGGCAGTGACAAATAGATATTCTGAATGGCTACAGCAAGAAATAAGCTATCGTGCCAGTAATTTAAATGTTTCTATTTCTATGATAACTGTTCTTTTGACAGCTTTATCTATAACTAAAAGGAAAAAGGAGACAGAGGGATGTTAGAAGAAACTTCTTAGTAATTTAAAGTAGAAATGTCAGTACCGGAAAGGGCCCCTATGAAATGAAAGGCAAGTGAAAAGAACCAACAGACACTCTTCAGCAGCAAACACTGGATTTACTACTATTACACCTTCATCACAAAACGTCAAGTGTCGACGACCTCCACGTCCAACCATGATAGGGTAGCAGGTAATCAGATCTACCATTCTGGCCCTCAAAACAATTTTTAAACAGACAAAATATATGAAACAACAGTTTTCAGATATTAGACAACTGGCAGCCCAAACAGTGAATCCCGAGGGAAGGGAACAGATGAAGTGAGTCGTGCAACTAGCCAGCTTACTGCCTGTGGAGAGCTGGCAGCTTGAGGGTGGAGAATCTAACAGAGCTCAAGGAGCTGATGAGACAGAGTAGAGAATTTGGGGAGGTGAAGGCAGCTCGAATTAACAGGAAGAGTACTGGAGAATATACGTGGAGTACAGGAAGAGCAGAAAGCTGTACGCTGAGAGAAAGAGAGAGAAAGAGAGAGATCTCCAAAATCTGCCGGTGACTCTCCTCAAACCTTTAGCTGAGTGCTGATCAGCACATGGCGTGAAGAAACCAAGGTGAGGGAAAGAACCACTGGAAAGCCGCAGGTGGAATCACCGCTGGAATACACACCCAGGACCCAGGACGGTTTGTCCACCGACAAGCCAGAGTGGAAAAGCCTCTCTATACACGAGCATCAAGAACAGCACTCAGAAGAGCACTGCCTCAGTAGTGCAGAGAAACACAAAGGGTGGAACAAAGGGTGCTCATTCCTGCCTAAAAAGCTTAAAGACAAGCCTCCAAAAGCAGGGTCGCTACACTGCTTCTGTAAAGATCAGATAAATATTTTGAGCTTGGCAGGCCATAAAGTCTCTCTGTCACAATTATTCTGTTGTGATAGCACAAAAGCAACCACAAACCAAAGGTAAATAAATAGGATGGCCAAAGTTGGGCTACAGGCAGCATGCAGTTTCCCAAATCCCGCTCAGGAATATCAAACTATAGCAAGTAACTTAGCTGTGTCCCAGAGCAAAGCTCAAAAAATGTGTAAAGGAATTAAAAATATCCAGTATACAACAAGGTAAAATTCACACTGCCAGCATCTAATCAAATATTACCAGGTATGAAAAGAAACAGGAAAACATGAACCCATGATTAGGAAACAATAAATCAATCCAAACTAACCCAGAAATGAAAGATGATACAATTAATACACAGAGACATTAAAGTCACTTACTATATATTCCACGTGTTCAAAAAGGTAGAGAAAAACATAAGCCTGTTAAACAAAGACATGGAAAATATAAAAAGATGCAAATCTAACCTATAAAGATTTTTTAAAATTGTATAATATACAAAACATCCTAGATGGGATTAATAGCAGTTCAGGAACTACAGAGAGAAGATCTGTAAACTTGAAGGCATAGTCTTAGAAACTATCCAAAATGAAACACTAAAGATGTGTAAAGGAAGCCCCCAAAATGGGGTTGGAGGGGGAGAAAAAAATTTCAAAATATAATGAATGAAAATTTTCAAAATTACATAAAAGATCCAAGAAGCTCAGAGAACCCCAAGCACAAGAAACATGAAGGAAAACTATAAAACACATCATAATTATTCAAGATCAATGATAAAAAGAAAATCTTAAAAGAAAACAGGGAAAAAGACACATGTACAGAGGAATAAAGATAAGACTGACATCAGGCTTCCCACTGAAAACAAAGCAAGCAAGAAGACAATGGAGCAATAGCAATTCTATACAAATTCTTCCAAAAAACTGAAGAGATGGGAACATTTCCTGGTTCATTTCATGAGGTCAGCATTACCCCAATACCAAAACCAGGAAAAAAAAATTCCAAGAAAACTACAGACCAATACACTCATGAACACAAACTCAAATATTATTAACAAAATTTTTAGCAAATGACATCCAGCAATATATAAAAAAGGTAATACATCACGACCAAGTATAATTTATCCCAGGAATGCAAGACTGTTTTAACATTTGAATTCAATCAATGCAATTTACCATATTAACAGTCTAAAAAAAAGATCTCATTAGATGCAGAAAAAAGCACTTGACAAAACAAACATCCATGATGAGAAAGATTCTCAGAAAACTAGGAATAGAAGGGAACTTCTACAACCCGTTAATGGGCATCTAAGAAAAACCTACAGCCAACAGATACTGATGAAAGACTGAATGTATTCCCCCTAAAATTGGGACAAAGCAAGGATGTCTGCGCTTACCCTTTCTACTCAGCGTTGACTACGGTTTCTAGCCAGTTTAATAAGACAAGATAAAGAAATAAAAGGCAGCAATTGAAACGGAAACATTAAAACTTCTTTATTCACATGATCAGGTACATACAAAGTCCTAAGGAATTCTTCAAAAAAAACTGCTAGAACTAATAAGTAAGCTTATCAAGGTTGCAAAGTAAAAGATCAATATACAAAATCAACTCTGTTGTTATAGACTAGCAACAGATAACCCAAAATTCAAAAACACAACTATTTAAAACAGCATTAAAATATGTGAAATATTTAGGGATAAATCTGACAAAAGATGTACAACCCCAGAACACTGAAAATTACAAAACATCATAGAGAAAAACTAAAGATTATTTAGTAACTGAAGAGATAATCCACGGTCATGGATTAGAAAACTCAATATTACTAAGATGTCAACTCTCCTCAAATTTATCTATAAAATCAATACAATTTCAATCAAAATCCTAACCGTTTTGTAGAAACTGAAAAACTCATTCTAAAATTCATATGAAAATGAAAAGAACCTAGAATAGCCAAAACAACTATTGCAGGCTGAGTAATGCTCTCTTCCTCCCCACCTCCCACCAAATATGTCTACATCCTAATGTGGAACCTGTGAATATGTTGTTATTTTATATGACCAAAGAGACTTTGAAGCTGTGATTAAGTCAAGGCTCTTGAGATGTGGAGACAAGAAAAGTAGGCAGCCTCTAGACACCAGAAAAGGCAAGGAAAATTCTCCTCTCAGAATCTTCAGCAAGAACCAGCTCTGCCAACAGCTTGACTTTAACCTAGTGAGACTGATTTTGAACTTTGGACCTCCAGAACTAGAAGAGAATAAATTTGTGTTGTTTTAAACCACTAAGTTTGTGGCAATTTGTTACAGCACCAACAGGAAACTAATGTAGGTGCCAAATCAATTCAATGGGGAAAGGACAATATTTTCAACCAGTGGTGCTGGAAAAGTTCAAAAGCCCTATGCAAAGCAATGAACCTTGACCCTTACCTCACTTTGTATTAAAAAACTAACCCCAAATGGATCACAGACCTAAGTTCAAGAACTAAAACTTTAAAACTTCTAGAAGAAAATATAGCAGAAAATAATGATGACTGGATTTGGCAAAGATTTCTTAAACAGGACTCAAGCACAAAATATAAAAAAAAGAATCAAGAAATTGGACTTCAAGACCTAAACTTTTTTCTTCAAAAGATACTCTATTCATAAGCAACAAAAGATAAAGAAATCAGACTTAATCAAGATTTAAAATTTTTGTGCAGCAAAGGACACCATCACAAAAGTGAAAAGACAACCTAAGAATGGGAGAAAATATTTGCAAATTATACATCAGGTAAAAGAATAATATACACAATATATAAGGAACTCTCACAACTCAACAATAAAAAGACAATTAGCCCAATTAAAAGACAGTACAGGAAATGAATGGACATTTCTCCAAAGATAATACACAAATAGTCAATAAGCACATGAAAAGATGCTCAACATCATAAATACAAATTAAAACCATAATGAAATATCATTTCACAACTATAATTAAAAAGACAGATAATAACAAGTGTAT